CCCCAAAACCCCAAAACCCCAAAACCCCAAAACCCCAAAACCCCTTTGGGAGGTGTTTAATTGAATATTTTGAATTAGTTTGAACTTTGAAGTTAAGAGACGAACTAAATAGATGTAGAACTAAGGAAGATTTTAATAAGTTAAGAATGTACTCATTTTAGTTTACAAGTTCCTTAAAATCCAACATTTTAAGAACCTGAAGAAATTTTCTTTCACTCCTTAATTTGAACATAAAGTGATCATAATATTTCTAAGATTTTTAAAGTATGTTTACTAATTCAACTATTGCTTTGATAGAACTATTCAAAGAGTTTCTACTAAAATCCATAGTCTATATTCTAATGACAATAAAGCTACTAAAAAGGATAACTCAGGATGAGAATTATTCCTCCTGAAATCCTGATTACAATAAATAACGGTCAGTGTAATTTCTTCTTAGCTAGAAACATCAAATGTTTGGGCTACCTTTGAACTCTCTTGGTCACTCACTAGGGTATTAAGCTTAGCTGTCACTGGGGCAGTCCCCTGCTCTATTGTTCTATTGTTAGAGAAGTCTTGAGTCCTAAAGGAAACAGGTTATGAGACACTTACTTGTAGAGACTTAAGCCCATTTTTTGACTAAAGAAAATATCACTGTTTCTGACAACCTCCTCCCTATGCTTCCGCATAGGGAGGATGGTGTAAGCATAGTGAGTCCCACGGTAAGAATGGATAAAGTCAGGGTAATTCTGCCTCTTGGTGATTTTAGTCTTAGCTCTTTTGTACTTCTTTATGGAGAGGTTATACGGCCATTTATCAACCTCTTCGTTACTTCTTAGACTGGAAAGCCAAACTGATCGCCCATATTGGGTTGGATTAGGATCTTGAGTCTCTGTAAATTCCTTTTGGAACTTATATTGCTTATAGTTATCAGAAGAGTTCATTAAAGAGATCCCTGTTTTAGGTCTTTGGATCCTAGATTTAATAAAACTCGTGAATTTCTCCCAGTTCTGTTCCATTGCAGCATGCTTTTGGAGTTTCCTTCCCTCAGATTTATTTCTGAGTTCCTTAAGCTTGCTCAGATGTTTACTCATTAGTAGGGATTTTACAGTCATAGGGCGTTTACTGTAGCTATGCTCCTTGGTAGAAGTAATAGTCTTATTTATATCTGAAACTAAATTCTTTCTCCTCTTCAAATTTTGGAGGTAGAGCCTCAGATCTTTGTCGCTGTAGTTTGGATTTCTCTTCTTAAAACTCTTAACTTTTGCAGTAACTGTTGGAGAATTTAGCATGCCTTGATTCTCAATCTTTTGAGGAGCTATGAAAGATGTTTTATTTTGCCCTGTGAGTGCTTCTTCTCTTAGAAGGCAGACTCGGTTTTCTATAAGATTAGGCAAATAAAGCATACTTATTAAAAAGTTTTCATATAAATTTATTTGTATCTCCAAGAATGAATCTCCCCTGAATATTTCCTTTGTCATCTTTGAGGTAGCTTAGATCTTTCTTTAGTTGAGTACTCTCCATTTAAGAAGCTTTTATTTTCAATTTTTAAGAAATATAATGGGGTTTTGGGGTTTTGGGGTTTTGGGGTTTTGGGG